ATTTAAATTTAAAATTTCATTATTTTATATATTTAAAAAAAATTATACAAAACCAAAGTTAATGCATTAGATTAGCAATAGATATCATAGACACCAAACAAGAGTGAACAACAACAATGAACAGACACCAGACCATTGCAAACCCAATCTAAACCCCAAGAAACACAACATCCAGGGATACAACAATCCTAGCAAAACAATGGCCGACAATCCAGAACAGCCACAACATCATCATCAGCAACAACAACAATATGAAGGAGTAGTCAATGATGATGTTGTTCAACAAAACGATCAGTTTCTGGCAAATAAATGGCAGATAATGACTAAGATTATCAATACACAGATAGTAGAGATCAGACAGGAAGCCATCGTCAATCAGCCGCCGGCCGAGCCGTGGATTAATTTGAGATTCTTAGGCGACAAATATCTGGCAATTGCCGGCAATAATATTGCCGTCGAAGTACTCGGTTACAGGAATCAGAATTATGCGGTAATGGGCGAGAGTTACCGAGTCCGTGGCCGACCAGTTGTCTATGACGATGGCGGCCAACAGAGATGGATGGTTGAAAACTCGTTTCCTTTAGGCGTTTATTATGCAATGTTTTCGTACGGCATATGCGGCTACAGTGGACCGCAGGCCGAACTGCTGGCCGACAATAATGGTGAGTATTTGCTGGTTATCGATCAACAGTCAGCCCTAGAGTTGCGCAATCAGTCATTGAATCGGGCGGACCAACGATCTCAAGTCTATCAGTTGATTTGGTCGGCCTTTTTGCTAATAATTATGTCCTCACATCTCTATCAATGGTCTAATAGAAATGACAACAACGAGCCTATACTGGATTTACGGCAAAAAATCTATATATCTGTCGATCTATGTATTCGACAATTGCATTGTGCTATCAGATCGAAAAATATTTACCTAAAAGCCATTGTAGTGGTTGAAGCTATGGACAGACTGGTGCTAAACAATCCGAGTCCACCGTTTAGAAGACCCGTGCCTACAACTATCGATGTGCCGGCCATTGTTACACCAAATATTCGGCAATCAGTAACCAGAATCACTGATTTGGTCCAGGAGATCACCAATAGTCCGATGTTTACCCGCGATTGGCAAGAAATGTTCGACAAATTCGGCAATCTGCGGACATCGGTACCGATTGTCGACAAATTGAAACAAAGAGCCAATGATATACTGGCCGAACAAGAGGTTCATCTGGACAATGGTCAGATGTTTGTTGTCCGAGTTGAAGTAGGTCCACAAAACACCACCACCACCAACAACAACAACAACAACATTCAATGGACATATCGTATACGATCGTGGTCATTTTCGGATACACAACGAAACAGTTATCACGTTTGGCCAGTAAATAATTTTGAACCGTTTCAGGTTATGCGATATACACTACAAAATAATTTCCTACCGCTCTATAGTCACGGTCTGGCCGGCAGCTGTACTAACACGGATGCCCACTGCGGTAACAATGGTTTTCAAGTAACAACATTGAACTTTCCCGATGTCCCTGAACTCAATCATCGGCGGTTATATTTTGTCAATCGTGCGATGGCTATGGAGCTGAGAGCCCTGTTTGAAATACTACCCGACCAACCCGTCCCGGTTATGGAACAATACCATCGATGGTTTGTCCAATTGATGGAAATGTCGCGTCTGGTCTGCGATCTGCGCCAATGGTATCGCTCGGTGGCTGGCGTTGTCGATGATGACCAATGGCTTCAGGACATACAGAACTGTTCCCAGCAATTGTTTGCAATACCCGACCGACTGTTCCAGATGTATACGATTATCAGTCGACTGGAACAGCTATGGTATCACAGTATACTTGTACCCCATATTCAGGCGCGTGAGCCAAAGCTACAGCCGCTGATAATACCGCCAGCCGTTTATTTGGGCAAAAAAATTGAAATCAAAAAGAAACAGAAAAGAAAAGATAGAAAAGATAATCAGCCAAATCAAGGGTCGGGATCGGGATCGGGATCGTCGGGATTGGCCGGACAGAAGCCGACGAAAAAACCGAGAAACAAAAAATGATTGGACAGTAAATAAAAAAAACTTAGATATTGTTTGAATTGTCTAAATAATAGTAGGAATCAATGAGTCAATCAAAAACATTTTAAGTGAATTTAATGATTAAAAAAATGAAAAAATTTAACATCAGTTTAAAAGGTTTAAACATTGAAAATACTATATTTTTTTATTAAAAAAAAATTAATTAATTAATTATTGTAAAAATTATTGTATGACTGGTATTGAACGCAAACACACACACACACGATAAACGATAATAATTTTGTTAATTATATTTTTTGTTTAAAAATCTTTTATAATTTAAATTTTATTAAAAGTTTTATTATTTTAGTAAAAAAAATTAAACAAAAAAAAAAGTGAACACATATTGAATAGACAAGCAATAGTTACCACACAATCCATCACCAGATACCCAGACAATCGGGAAAACATCTCCAAACCCAAGAAACACAACATCCAGGAAAACAATCGGCGAACAAAAACAATGGCCGACAATCCAGAACAGTCACAACAACAACAAGAACAGCATATTGTAAATCAATGGCAGACAATGACTAATATAATCCATACACAGATCGTTGAGATCAGACAAGAAGCCATCAACAATGAGCCACCGGCTGAGCCGTGGATTAATTTAAGTACCGTAGGCTTACAGCATCTGGCAATTGCCGGCAATAATATTGCCGTCCGAGTAAGTAACGCGAATATAGCATATACACAACTGGCCGAAAACAGTTACAGAGTCCGAGCCCGTGGTGTTGTCTATGACGATGGCGGCCCAGAGAGATGGATGGTTGAAAACTGCTTTCCAACATCTAGTTATTTCGCTATGTTCTCGTACGGCATATGTGGCTACAGTGGACCGCAAGCCGAACTTCTGGTCAACGATCAAGGACGGCTTTTGCTGGTTATCGACGAACAGTCAGCCATAGCGTTGCGCAACCAGTCATTGAATCGGGCGGACCATCGCTCACAAGTCTATGAGTTAATTTGGTCGGCCTATTGGCTAACGATTATGTCGTCAAATCTCTACAAATTGTCCGATAGTAATGCCAGCGACGAGTCTATACTGGATTTACGGCAAAAAATCTATGTATATGCCGATCTATGCATTGAACAATTGCGTTGCGCTATCCGATCGAAAGATATTTACCTAAAAGCCATTGTAGTGGTAGAAGCTATGGACAGACTGGTGTTAGTCGATCCGAGTCCACCGTTTAGGAAACCCGTGCCTCCATTTAGCAATGTGCCGGCTATTGCTTTACCAAATATGCAGGAATCAGTAGCCAGAATCACTGCATTCGTCGCGGAGATCAACAATAGCCCGATGTTTACCAAAGATTGGCAACAAATGTTCGACAGGTTCGGCAATCTGCAGACATCGGTACCGATTGTCGGCAAATTGAACCAAATAGCCGATGAACTACTGGCCGAACAAGAGGTTCATCTGGAAAATGGTCAAATGTTTAGCGTTAAAGTTAGTGTCGGTCCACTACAAGACAATCAACGGACCTATTATATAGAATCGATAGCTTTTTTCGATTCACAACAAAACAGGTTTCACGTTTGGCCAGTAAATGATTTTGAACCGTTTCAGGTTATGCGACGGATAACAAATTATTTCCTACCGCTGTCCAGTCACGGTCTGGCCGGTAGTTGCACTAACATCACGGATGCCTACTGCGGTAACAACGGGTTTCAAGCAACAACATTGAACTTTCCCGATGTCCCTCAACTCAATCATCGGCGGTTGTATTTTGTAAATCGTGCGATGGCTATGGAGTTGAGAGCCCTGTTTGAAATACTACCCGACCAACCCGTCCCGGTTATGGCACAATACCATCAATGGTTTGTCCAGTTGTTGGAAATGTCGCGACTGGTCTGCGATCTGCGCCAATGGTATCGCTCAGTGGCTGGTGTTGTTGAGGAGGGCGACCAATGGCTGGCAGACATACAGAATTGTTCACAACAATTGTTTGCGACAATTCCCGACCAACTGTTCCAGAAGTATATGATTATCAGTCGACTGGAACAGCTATGGTATCACAGTATTCTAGTACCCAATGTACAGGCTCTGGAACCGATGGTAGACAGGCTAAAAATACCACAATCCGCTTATTTGGGCAAAAAAGTCGATACAAAAAAAAGAAAATCAAAAGAAGATAAAGTAGAAAAACTGTCGTCAAAATCGTCGTCGGGATTGACCGGACAGAAGCCGAAAAAAATAAAGAAAACGATTGGACAGTAAAATAAAAGAAAAAACAGTAAGAAATTGTCATTTAATTGTCTAAATAATAGGTTGGAATCGATCAGTCAATCAAAAAACAACTGTCAATTTAATGATTAAAAATATTTTAACATCAATTCAGATTTTTTATTTTAGCAAAAAAATAATTAATGAAAAAAAAACATTTATAGTATTTTTCATTATCATACAGAGAAAACATTTTTTCATTGTGTTATATACCGTATATATATTGTAAGACTATTGTCTAAACTATTGGTGTTTTTTAATGTCAAAAAAAACCGATGAACTAAATGATTGGACAGAAAAGCATTTAAAAATATTAAGTTACAAATCAAAAATCAAACAAAATTTTCTTTTAATTTTTTTTAAAGTTTATCTAATAGTAGAAAATTTTAACAACTAAGCCATTCAGTTAAACAATTATATATATTTTTAATTTAAATTTTAGTTTAATTAGTTTTATTAAATCAATCAATTAGTCGAAACTTTTTTTTATTAGATGACAAACATATTTATATAGAAATTTCCAAATTATATATATAAATACAGTATAAAATATATACTGTAATAGTTATATAACATTTAGAGATAAAACAGTAGCAAACAAAACTATAGATTTTTATTTCCCGATAATATAAAAAAAACTTATATTTCTATGAGAATACATATAATATGTTTGTTTGATTTTGTTTTGTTTTGTTGTTGAGATCATTATTTAGACAATTTTGAAATCAATAATTTGTGGATCAAACCAAATAAACCCACCGCTCATTTGGCCACTGTTGCCGATATCCATGGTTACGGACAATGGATTTTCAATGTCCGACGACAGTAGGATTTCGCGAAAGTCTTGTTCGGTCTGTATGTACTGTCCATTGATCTGATAGATGACTCCCCAATCGTAGTAATTATTCATCAATTGATAACTGGAAAAAAATTGTAAATTGAATAATAATATTATTTTTATATCTACTTTTAAAATAAAGGTATAACCACTTACTTGCCATACGTGTGCACAGCTATAGTATAGTGTATGACAACCATAGTCTGGTTGAACTGTTCGACATAGTATACCAATCCTAAATCTAAGCCGTGCTCCTGTTGTCTGCCATGAAACCTATTATAGGCATAGTTGAAGCCATTGAAGTAGAAATCTAGATAATAACAATAAAACAGTTAGATATAGATAGGCATATCCCCAACAACAAAAAATCCATCAATAGGTTAGATAAGCTCAGGGAGATTGGGAGGGTTAGAGAGAGAGAGAGAGAGAGAGAGAGAGAGAGAGAGAGAGATAGGGGGTAGGCTAGCTAAGTATATACAGTATATACAGACCGTTGACTAAACTGATTTGTCCGCCATAAAAGTAACGATACAACGGACTGCCGCTGACCTGATAGCTAACCAAATTGCCGGTATTGGTAGAGAAAACTGGTCCGCCAGACATACCAGCTATCATTTCGGCGCTCGTCTGAAGCATCGGTATGTCGACAGTATTGTAGAGTTGAATATATTGATCGATAGTATTGCGCGGCTGTTGACTATAGGGATTGTTGACAATACCGGGAAACCAATCGTACGATCCATGGAGGCCAGTGGGCACACCTATGGTTATAATTTCGTCACCAAATTCAATATCGGACTCATCGGCCATCTGTGAGATGGCTATTGTCTGCTGGAAAGGATTGAATAAACTGAAACGGATAAGCGTTAAATCCAGTTGCGGATCACTATAGATAAACTGTCCGTAAGCTATTATATTGTCGCTGTGGTCGTAGATAAAACAACTGGTTATGTGTTGGGCAACGTGAGCACAGGTAACAGCGTAGACAATAGAGGCTAACTGACCGCATATCAAAAAACCTGTACCAGAACTTTCAGTGTTGTAGTCATGGTTTTCGATGACTATACGGACAAACTTTTGCTGTTCGTAGAACAGGTCGTCTTCATCGAACAGGTATGTCCTCCTGAACCCAATACTACTACTATTATTATTAATACTATTACTACTATGACTACCGGTTCCGATGTTTAGCTGTCGTGGTAGCTGCCGATAGTCTATAAGTGATATACTGTCTGTCCTATTATTCTTCTTATTATTATTATTTCTACTATTATTGTATTGCCATAACTGATGATAGCTATAGTAACCATCACCACAACCAGTAATAATACACAGTCTAATCAGTGGCAGTGAAAACCTTTTAGCTAACTGTCCAAACATTTTCAACAAAAAAATGTTGTTATATAGTATTGAGTATATAATGCATTTTTTCTAATTGCTAACGGTTTTTTAATTATAAAAAAATATGATTTAATAATTAGTAATAATAATTTAATTGTTATTGATTTTTTTTTGATTTTTATTACTGTATTAATTAAATGTCTAACATTAGCAATATATATATATATATATATATATATAAATGAATTACTATTGATTTTTTTAGTGACAAACATATACATAATATTTATATAAATATAGAAATTTCCAAAAAAATAAAAATTATATACCGTATAGTATACCATATAAATAGTATATAATAGTAAAAATATTTTAGAGATAAAACAATAGATTTTATTTCCCGATAAACAACAAAAACAACAACAAAAAACATTTCTCTAAATAATTTATTGATTTTTTTTTGTTTTTTTTTTGTTAAAACAACTATTTTAAAATCGCCCATTTGGTCGTCCAACCAGATAAACCCATCAGACATATGGCCATAACCGCTGATATCTATCTGTACTGCCAATGGATTTTCGTTGTCCGAAAACATTACGGCCGGTATGGGACATAGAACATACCGTAAACTAAAGTGATTTGTCCGCCAAAAAAATAGCGAAACTTTGGACTACCGCTGACTTGATAGCTGACACTTTTGCCGGCGCTATTGAAAACCGGTCCGCCAGACGTACCGGCAATCATTTCGGCGGTCGTATGAACCATAGCTACGTCGACAGTGTTGTACAGTTGGGTATATTGGCCGACAAAGTTGTTGACAATACCGGGACTCCAATCGTACGATTGATGATAGTTTGTTGGGACGCCTATTGTTATAACTTCGTCGCCAAACTCAAGATCCGAGCCGTCCATCTCTGAGATCTCTATCGACGGAGTGTTGTTGTAGTCGATAAAACGGATGAGCGCTAAATCCAGTTGCGGTTCACAGTATAGTATCTGTCCGAAACCAATCAATGTGTTTGTATAGTCGTTTTAATTAAGTCGTTCCTAATGCATTCTAATGGATTCATACACTATAAACATTCAAGTTCAGAAATTATGGGCTGTCCATTGATCTCGTAGATGACTCCCCAATCGTCGTAGTCATTCATCAATTGATTACTAAATTTAAAATTTTTTTTTTTGATTAACAACAACAAAAAATACTGTAAAATCAATTTTAAGGATTTTATTGTTTAACAAATTTTTTTCAATAATCGGTGTTAAATACTTACATGCCATACGTGGGCACAACTATATTATATTTTATGACAACCATATTCTCATCGATTTGTTTGACAGTATATGCGAGTCCCAGTTGTAGTTCGTGCTCCAGTAGCCGGGCGTATGTCATGCGATTGGAATAGTCGATAGCAATGTTATAAAAATCTATTTGAATCAATAAACAAAAAATAATAATACATAAGTTAGGTTAGGTCACAATAATTATGAGAAACTCATAGAGTTAGAGATACAGAAGCAGAGAGAGTGAGAGAGAGATTAGCTGTCGTGTTGTATTTGTCCAATTATTATTATGCCTATTGTTTTGTCGCCATAACTGATAACCCCATAACCCCAATAACCCCAACCCCAACCCCAACCCCAACCCCAACCCCAACCCCAACCCCAACCCCAACCCCAACCCCAACCCCAACCCCAACCCCAACCCCAACCCCAACCCCAACCCCAACCACTACTACAACAACTAATAATACCGCACAGTCTGATCAGTGGCAGTGAAAACTTTTTAGCTAACTGTCCAAACATTTTTCTTAGATATTATTTGTTGTTGATGTTGATGTATAACTTTTTTTTAATTTGCTAACGACTATTACAATAATTTAATCAGTTATTAACAATTTTTTTTAAAATGATATTTAAATTTTGTTATTATTATTGTAATTGTTTAAACAGTTTAATTAATAGTTTAATTACTGTATTTATATATACTGTATAAATGAAATACTATTGATTTTTTAAGTGACAAACATATACATAATATTTATATAAATATAGAAATTTCCAAAAAAAATTATATACCGTATAGTATACCATATAAATAGTATATAATAATAAAAACATTTTACAGATAAAACAATAGATTTTATTTCCCGATAAACAACAACAACAAAAAAAAAACAAACATTTATTTCTCTGAATAATTGATTGATTTTTGTTTTTTTTCTGTTAAAAATCACTACACTTAAACAATTTTAAACTCTCCCATTTGGTCGTCCAACCAGATAAAACCATCGGACATATAGCCATAACCGCCGATATCTATCTGTACGGCCAATGGATTTTCGTTGTCCGAAAACATTACGGCCTCACGAAAATCACGTTCAGAAGGTATGGGCTGTCCATTGATCTCGTAGATGACTCCCCAATCGTCGTAGTCATTCATCAATTGATAACTTTAAAAAAATAAAAATTTTGATTAATAACAACAAAAAATACTGTAAAATCATATATCAATTTTAAGGATTTTATTGTTAAACAAATTTTTTCAATAATAATAGTGTTAAACACTTACTTGCCATACGAGGGCACAACTATATTATACTGTATGAAAACCATATTCACATCGATTTGTTGGACAGTATAGGTGAGTCCCAGTTGTAGTTCGTGTTCCTGTAGTCTGGCGATTGTCATACGATTGGAATAGTCGTAAGCAGTGTTAAAAAAATCTATTTTTAAAACAAAAGCAATACATAATACATAAGTTAGGTCACAATAATTAAGAGAAACTCATAGAGTTAGAGATACAGAAGCAGAGAGAGAGAGAGAGAGAGAGAATAAAAGAGAGAGAGAGAATAAAAGGAGAGAGAGAGAATAAAAGAGAGAAAGAGAGAGAATAAAAGAGAGAAAGAGAGAGAATAAAAGAGAGAGAGAGAGAATAAAAGAGAGAGAGAGAGAATAAAAGTAGAGAGAGAGAGAATAAAAGAGAGAGAGAGAGAATAAGAGAGAGAGAGAGAGCGATAAAGAAAGAGAGAGAGAATAAGAGAGAGAGAGAGAGAGAGAGAGAGAGAGAGCGATAAAGAAAGAGAGAGAGGTTAGGTATACAACTTAAAAAAACATACCATAAACTAAAGCGATTTGTCCGCCAAAAAAATAGCGAAACCTGGGACTACCGCTGACTTGATAGCTGACAAGTTTGCCGCCGCTATTGAAAACCGGTCCGCCAGACGTACCGGCAATCATTTCGGCGGTCGTATGAACCATAGCTACGTCGACAGTGTTGTACAGTTGGGAATATCGGCCGACAAAATCGCGCGGAAACTGCGAATACGGATTGTTGACAATACCGGGACTCCAGTCGCACGATTGATGATAGTTTGTTGGGACGCCTATTGTTATAACTTCGTCGCCAAACTCAAGATCCGAGCCGTCCATCTCTGAGATCTCTATCGTCGGAGTGTTGTTGTAGTCGATAAAACGGATGAGCGCTAAATCCAGTTGCGGTTCACAGTATAGTATCTGTCCGAAACCAATCAATGTGTTGTTATAGTCGTAGATATTACAACTGACCATTTGTTCGGTTACATGAGCACAGGTAACAGCGTAGACAACGTCGCCCAACTGTCCGCATATCAAAAAGCCTGTACCCGTTGAATGTCTATTATAGTTGATGTCTTGGATTATTATACGGACATACTTTGTCACTATATCAAACATGTCGAACTCATCGAACAGGTGTGTCCTCTTTAGGCCTATACTACTAATACCGGTGCCGATTAGCTGTCGTGTTTTATCTGTCCAATTATTATTATTATGCCTATTGTTTTGTCGCCATAACTGATTGTTGCCCCAACCACCACCACCACCACCACTACTACTACTACAACAACCAATAATACCGCACAGTCTGATCAGTGGCAGTGAAAATTTTTTAGCTAACTGTCCAAACATTTTTCTTAGATATTATTTGTTGTCGATGTATAACTTTATAACGTTTTTTTTGCTAACTACTATTACAATAATTTAATCAGTTATTAATAAGTTTTTTTTTTAAATGATATTTAAATTTTGTTATTATTATTGTAATTGTTTAAACAGTTTTAATTGATTTTTATAGCTCGAGTTTTGTACAGTATATAAAAAAATTAATTAATTAATTATTAACGACTTAATTGTTTAATTACGAGTTAATTGTTTGTTTTTAGACAATATCTATTTTTATTTTAATTGTTTACTATTATCTTATAAAATAAACTACAGGTGCTGCTGCTTATAATATAACTATATTGACTTTTAAAATAAAATAAAACATAAAATTACTGACTGTACTAATACAGTACTAACTAATATATGGTTTACAATGCTATAAACTACAAGTGCTGTTTTATAATAACTATATACAAAAAAAATTGTCAATTAGTTTTGTTTAATTAATCAATTTAAATAAATCACTGATCAAAACAAACTAATCAATAAAATTATTATTTTTTTAATTTTAAAAACAAACACAAACTATACACTAAACTAATGTCTATTTTAGTTATTTTTTTAATTAGTTTTTGATATATCTTCTAAGCGGTAGATAATAGATATCCTCATCGATAGTCTCGAGATCCGGTGCTCGCGATGGAAAACGGCGACTACGGCTCCATTGCTGTCCCGATGCTGTCCGTGGCCAACCATTAGTACTACCAGACCTACTACTGGTTCTACTGTTGTCAACATTACTACTGCCACTACTACCAGTAGCGCCTAAATTTGTCGGTTGTCCCGAACCTATACGTCGCCTGGTTATCAGTGCCGTCAAACGTGATTTACCCGGATCTGTTACACGCACCGCCATCGACCTACTTAAATCACTATCCACTGCAGCACCAGTAGTACTAATAGTAGTAGTGGATTCAACACTGACTCCATGGTCGTCGTCCAAACTGGTAGTCCAAACTGAGCCTAACATCAATGGTTCTGTTGTGGTGGTGGTGATGGTAGTCAATGGTTTGGCCATTGATTTTGGTACACAGGCTACTTGTTCGATAAAGTCAATCATTGTTACGACCAGTTCCTGGCTGCGAAACACCCGACGGCTTAGTTCGGTTAGTTGACTGCGAGCTATTTGCAAAAGATTTGGCCATTGGCTCAGATCAGCTAAATGGCTGTTCAGTCGGATGTCGGCGAGTCTACTGTTTTGGTCTAACTGTTGATTGATTTCCAATAGTTCACCGATTGTTCGGCTCAGTTCACGTTCGCCCGATAACAGTAGCTGCGAGTCGTTGACAAATATCCGGTTCTTACCGGTAATACTAAGCAACGGATACAACTCACGTTTGACTAACCAAACCGGTCGAAAGCCATCGCCGCTGTCCTGTTTGACTACTAGTATCTGTTTGCCGTCCAACTTAAATCCCGGTGCCGTAATCGCTGGGAATGCATAGCTTGCGCGACTAGTCTGTGCCGGTTTATGATAAATACTAACCCGTATTATCGACTGCTGGCCATTGATGGTCACTGTTTGTTTCGTTTTGGATTTCATGTTCACTCGATTGACAACTCGATGTCCGATGGATGTCGTGGCTGCTGCTGTTGCTGTCGTATCCGTCATATCTATCATCCATTGGTTTTCCATTGCAGACAATCGGTCGTCTAATTTGCTGACATGTTGTTGTAAACCAGATATGATATTCAAAAACAATCGAAACGATTGCAACGCTAGCTCTGTGTTAGCTTCGATAGCCATATATATGTATATAATCTATATTGATATACCTGTCCTCAATCTACCGGTTCTACAGTATACATGTATATATAAATTTTTGACGATTAATTATTTCGATAATTTTTTTTTTTGATTTTTTTTAAATTAATAATTTAAAATAATTATTAGTTTTTTAAAAATTAAATTAAAACAACAAAATAACTAAATATCGGCACATATTTGGTCAGACAGTTTTGGTCAACAGTTTCTTAATTTCCTAATATATTTCAATTGTAAAGTAAATTTTATTTTTAATAATATAAAGTATAGGCGGCTTCTCATAATTATAGTAATAAATTTTAATATTTAGTTAATCAAATATAATGGACAGTCATAAAGGGTATACTGTCTAACATTTATTTATTAATTAATTTAAAAATTGAATCTCAAAAAAATAAATTTTAATAATAATTAAATTTTAAATAAAATAATTATTTTAATGTCAAACAAATTTATACAAGAGTATATAAAAGTTATATATTAGTTATATTTAGATAATTTTTAAAAATAAAATTGTTATAAACGCTGTTTAATAATAACTATAAAAACACATTTTAAATCCTTATACATATATTTTCAATTAATTTTTGTCTATCAATCAACCAATCAATTACCGACTGATAAACAACAAAAATAATACATACCATACGTGTTTGTATGGCTGATTAGTTTAGTCTCTGTTTGGTTTTCTAAGCGGTAGATAATAGATATCCTCATCAATGGTTTCGAGACGCGGTGGTCGCGATGGAAATCGGTCGGCTCTAGACATACCCGACCTAATACTACTACTACTACTACCAGACCTACTACTACTACCAGACCTACTACTAATACTACCAGACCTACTACTACTACCAGACCTACTACTACTACCAGAGCCCAAATTTGTCGGCTGTCTTGTACGTCGTCTGGCTATTATTGCTGTCAGTTTGGATCGACTGGGATCTATTACACGCATCGACCTATTCATAACATTTGCTGCTTCAGTACCACCGGTAGTATTAGTTGGCACACCATTGCCGCTGTTGTCGTCGGCACCGGTAGTCCAAATCGAACCTAACTTTACTGCTTGGGTGGTAGTGCGCCGATTGATGCTAGTGGTGGTGGCCAGTCCCGTAGTTTTCGGTACACAGGCCACGTGTTCGATAAAGTCGATCATTGCTACGACCAGTTCCTGGCAGTTAAATACCCGACGCTCAAGATCATTGAGTTGAATGCGCGCTATAGCCATAAGATTTGGCCACTGATCGAGATCGGCTAAATGGCCGCTTAGCCGTCTGTCGGCTAGTCTACTGTTTTGGTCTAACTGTTGATTGATTTCCAATAGTTCACCGATTGCTCGGCTCAGTTCCCGTTCGCCCGCTAACAATAGCTGTCCGTCGTTGACAAACATCAGTTGCTTATTGGTAACACTAAGCAACGGATGCATTTCACGTTTGACTAACCAAACCGGTTGGTGACCACCTGAAGAACCATCGCGTTTGACTACAATTATCTGTTTGCCGTATAGCTTAAATCCCGGTGCCCTGATCTCGGGGAATGCATAGCTAGCGCGACTAGTCTGTGCCGGCTTGTGATACATACTGACCCTAAGCGTCGACTGTTGGCCATTGATGCTAACCGATTGTTCGGTCGTAGATTTCAGGTCGACTCGATTGACGACCGGATGTCCAATAGAAGTGGTCGTATCGATCAGATCTGTCATCCATCGGCTTTCCACTGAACGCAATCGGCTGTCCAATTGGCTGACATGTTGTTGTAGACCAGATATGCTATTCAATAACAACCGAAACGATTGCAACGCTAGCTCTGTATTAACTGCGATAGCCATAGATTTCAATGTATCGATTGATAATATATTTAATACCTGATCTCTCAATTTTTCAATCAATATATATTTATATACTATGTTTTTTTTAAAGTAATAATTGTAAAAAAACTATTAGTTTTAAAATAAAATAAAAATAAAATTTATTAAAAAAATGTAATATAAAAACAAAAGGAATAGAAGATAACAACGTCAGGACAGGTCAGACATGCCTATAGTGGACAACAAAAACAAAAGACAACAATAGCAACATGTGGTCAACCAATCAGCCGAAGTCACAGAAATTGATTAAACGAGAAAAAGAAATACAAAACCGAAGAGAAAAACGAAAGAGAAGTCGACAAAAAAGACGATTACAAAAAAAGACAGTCCAAGTGGTCGACAATCCTGTAGCCGACGGCGACAATTCGGCCGGTCTGTGCTATGTTTGTTTCGGCGACGAAGACACTCCAGAAGATTCAGTGGTAAGACCGCGGCCGTGCAATTGCAATGTTAATCTGCACTATCTATGTCTGGTCCAAATGCTCAGTCGGCTGGAGTACGCCCGTACCGGCCGATGTACAGTATGCAGACAACCGTTTCGATGTCCGTGGATTATTGTCCACTTGCGCAACACATATCGCCAATATAAGGACACCCATAGCGCTCACGATTGGCTATCAAAGTTAATAGTCGGCATTGCCGCTGTTGTTGGCGGACTAACTCAATTAATATCGTTGGACGATCTGGGCGACGATCCGTGGACAATATACTATCTGTCGACACTGATACCGACTGTTTTAGGTGCAGGTGCCGCAACTATATTAGCCTGTGATTATATTTTCTACTATCGAGCCTATTTGAATTGGCGCGACCATATCGAACAGCTGCCCTGGTATCGGTTTACACGCTATGATCCGGTTAACCATGTAATTGATCCGGAAAAGTATGGCGAATACGATCCGCGTCCAGAAGCTATGCGACAGCTGATTTTGGATCAGATAGCTAATAGACGCAATATGATGGCACAGATACGGCTGGATCTGGATCTAAACTTTACGCCAATGGACTGGACTAACAGGCAAATGGCCAATGATTATCGGGAAAGGGATGCAATGTGGAATCGCCTATTTCATGAACAACAACAAGCGATCGATGAATATCCACAGTTGGCCGCTGAAGTCTATGGCAATCAACTACAACAACAACAATAAGATTAATAAATCAATCAATCAATCAATCAATCAATGATAAATCAAATGTCTATTTTACAGATTAAATGGTTGATTGACACTAAATAAAAGTTACAGTGATTTGAAGGTTTTGAGAAAATTTAAAGTAAAAAACGATTAATATATTTATTTATTTTTTTTATGTCCAATCATTTTATTTTCTTAAGGGTTCCGCCAACACCTGACGTTCCTAACAATAGTCCCGCAGATTTTTATT